AGAATGTGGGACCTTATCCAGAGAAGCAGCAGTGCCAGAGATGGAGGCAGAGATGGGGGCATGGAGAGGGGGAGTGGCTGAGGACTCTAGATTCATCAACTAAGAAGAGAAGGACTAAGAACAGGTGGCCAGGAACAGACTTGCAGAATGTGCCCTCTGGAGATGTAATTTATTATATATGCCTGAGTGGGTTTTTTTGTTTGTGTGTTTTTTTAAAAAAAGCTAAAATGCATAAAGAGAAATACTTTTAACTGATGGTATATGGAGGGGATTATAATCAATGTAATGAAACAAGCTATATGAATTGTTAAATGTGAAACTCATGAAGTGTCCTGTAAACTTTCACTCAATCCACAATAAAAACCTTAAATTAAAAAAAAAAAATGGATTCAACCAACAAATAATTTTGGTGCTTTCTATAGGATAGGTACTGTGTTAGGCTTAGGATATAGGAAGATGAGTACAAAATTGTTTCTGCTGCGTAGGAATTCACAGTTTAGTAGATGAGTCAATTACTGTGGATTTTGTTTTGTTGTTGATTTGTGACTTAGGAGATCCCATGTGGTACAGAGTAGAAATGATCCATAGGGTTTTCTTGGCTGTAATCTTTATAGAAAGAAATGATCAGGCCTGTTTCTTTCTTGGTGCTTCTGGGTAGGTTCGAACCACCAACCTCTTGGTTAATAGGCAAGCACAAACCATTTGTGTTACCCAAGGACCTTTGCGCTGCAGGAATTCAAAACAAGATGTAATAAACTGATGCTCTAGAAACAGAAATAAAACAAAGAATAGAGTGATTAATTGTCTTCAGCATGCCTTTATTTAAAAAATTCTAAATTGAATTATATTAATAAGAAATGCCTGAAAGGGCACCTTGAGTTAATTGTGGAAACAGATCTCCGGATCTTTCTCCTGCAGAGATGCTGGGTTGGTTCAAACCACCAACCTTTCTGTTATTAGCCAAGTGCTTAATCATGCCAGCAGGGCTCATTATTAGTTTCCTAGGATTGCTGTAGCAAAGTGCCACCAACTAACTGGGTGACATAAAAAATCAAAACTACAATTTATTCTCTCACAATTAGGGAGCCCAGAAGTCTGAAATCAAGGCAGCAGCAGGGTTATACTCCCTCTGAAGACTTTAGTGAAGAAAACTGCTTGCCTCTTTCTAACTTCTGTTTGGTTGGTGGCAATCCTTATTGTGATGGGTTGTAACTGCATCACTCCAGTTTCTGCCTCTTCGTAATCATCTTCCTTCTCTGTGTATCTATGTCTGTACTTACAGACTTTCTTCATTTTATAAGGATACCAGTCATTTCATTTAAGCTCTATTCTAATCCCGTGTGATGGCATTGTAACTTGACTAGATACATAAAGACTGTTTCCAAGTAAGATCATATTCTAAAGTCCAAGGTTTAGGACTTCAACCTCTTTTTCTCTTTTAGTTATTTACTTATTTTGGTTTCTAAAGACCAGAACTATATTTTCTTACAGTTTAGGAGGTTGTTGTAGTTGTTAGGTGGTGTCAAGTGGATTCCTACTCGTACTGACCATATACACGACAAAATGATACTCTGCCTGGTTCTGTGCCACCCTCACAATTGTTACATTTGAATGCATTGTCTCTACCACCTTGTCAATTCATCTCATAGGGGTCTTCTTCTGGGGTTTAGGAGGCTTGTTGTAGTTGTTATTGCTATTAGGTGTTGTTGAGTTGGTACTGACTCATTGTTGTACATAGTGATCCTATGTACAACACAATGAAACACTGCCTGGTCCTGTGCCAATCTCACAATTGTTGCTAAGCTTGAGCCTATTGCTGCTACCACTGTGCCAATCCATTTTGTTAAGGGTCTTCCTCAATTTTTGCTGATCCTCCACTCTACCAACCATGATGTCCTTTTCCATGGAGTGGTCCTATGCCCAAAGTATGAGAGATGAAGCCTGGCCATCCCGGTTTCTAAGGAGCACTCTGGCTCTACTTCTTCCAACATAGATTTGTCTGTCCTTTTGATGGTCCTTTTAATATTCTCCTCCAACCCCAAAACTCAAATGCATTGATTCTTATATAGCCTTCTTTATTCATTGTCCAGCTTTCACATGCATACGAAGTTATTGAAAATACCATGACTTGGTTTGGGCGCACCTTAGTCCACAAACTGACGTCTTTGCTCTTGAACACTTTAAAGAGGTCTTGTACGGCATATTTGTCTAATGCAATATGTTCTTTGATTTCTTGACTGCTGCTTTCATGAGTGTTGAGTGTGGATTAAAGTAAAATGAAGTCTTAGCTGGCTTACAAGCTTTCAAGAGGGAACCTGGTGCTAGGGAGCATGGCGGAAGGCAGAATCTCCAGTAGGTACTATTCAGTCTGTCTGGGCGGAGCTGATGAAAAGAGATACAGATGGGTAACTCGTGATACTG